GTACCTACTTATAATATATAATATAAATAATACAAAGAAATCCCACAGTTTAAAAATATTATTGATCATATATAGCCATCTTATTCCTGAAAATGAAAATGTAATTTGACTGTAAATAATACTTTAACTACTCGTTTAATTACAATAATAAATTGTACATAAAAAAAAAATAAACCTATTAAAATTAAATAAATGAAATTAAGTACTTACCTGAAACAAGTCTTCAAAACCAAATTGTAGAACATTTAATTATAATTTATTAATAGTTTAAGTTTTAACAAAAAAATTAAATTCTTACTGAAATTATTTATTAATTCAGAACACCAAATTTGTGAAAAAACACATTACATAGATAAACAATAAACAACATCAACATGACCTACGATTACCTAACTACCTACCTACCTACATTAGGTACTATGAATTTCAATTATTTTAATTTACTAAAAGAAATTAGAGAATATCCATCATTGATATATTTGGATTAATAATATTATAAAAATAGAAGACCTTTCAAAATTAATATGGTGATTGCATTAATTATCTTTATTTACCGAAGATACTATAGAATTCAATATATTTAAGCAAAGAGAAATTTATCAATAATTATCTTCTTCAATATTTTCAAAGATACAAAAATTAAATATTCTTTAATTTCTACTTAACATCTAGTGTTCCAATATATTATAATAAAAAGTTTGAGGATTATTTTATATTATTTTTACATTATCATGAATAAAAGATTACTTTTAGGTATTTTTTTGATAAAGTCATTAATTGTGGTATATCCAGTATAATACTTACAATATACAATGTGGTTATTAATTCAATCAGTAGTACATTTAGCAAAAAAATAATACAAAATAATGCTCATTCTCAACAACCAGGATTCATATTTTATGGGTATTTATTTTAATGAGATAGATTGTATTTTAGTAATACTGTGAGAATTTAGGGATGAATCACTAGCTGTGTAATATAATTATCCACTCACCTCATCTGTAACTGCAGTTTGGACTTACTTCCTGACCATGCCAAATCTGAAACAGAATAAAAGAAGAAAAAATTGTAATAAGAGTTATATGCTAACTAATAAATATAGAAATAGGAAATTGTGTTCGCTGCTGTAAACTCGAATGATCTTAACTAGAGCTGGCATTTCGATGCACTTTGCATTTTTTTTTTCTAAAGCTTGCTGAGCAATACTCGTATTATCACAAATTTGTTTGATTTTTCAATGAAAATAAGAAAGTTAATTTTGCATTTTTTGAAAAAAATATTGGTTAAAGTAATTTTTTTTAATTTTTTTTTTTTAGCATTTTGTTTTAGAGTGCATTTTTAAAGTTTTGAATCCAAAATTTGAATTTAAAATTTCATTTTACAATTGTTCACATGTAACATGATTTTTGTATGAATATAACCAACTATTAAGTAGGTATTCATATTATTAACGATGATTATACAGATATTTTCTAAGGCAAAACCAGCCTGGTATTTTTAGAATCATTCGATTTCCTGCTTAATAATTGTTAGAATAGTAAAATCGACTACATCGTTCAGTACAAGTTTTGTTGTTTACTTGTAAAGTGAATTTATAATATTATAATTTGTACATTGTACCTATCAAAATTATCAAAATTAAACACATTTTTAGTAAGTTATTCAAAATTGTTGTGCATAAAAGCAATTTTTAATGGCACCTTTTAGGGTTTTGGAGGGCATTACAATAGTACCTACCTATAGATTTGTAGGTTCTACCGTGCAACAAAACCTGTAGTAGCAAAATGAGGATTTGACTAATTTTTTTTATTTTTGATCAGATTTTAGAGTTTTACATATTATTTATTCTTCATTTTTTTACCAGCCTTATTTTTTTAATTTGAATTTTTATTTTAACATTTTTTATTAGTTAAATGACTTATATCATCTGTAAAAGTCAAAATCCAAAATGTCTAGTGTTTACTACTTTTTCATCAAAACTGAAAACTTTTAACTCATACATTCCAAAATATCAAGATAAATTTAACTCAAACCCTCATATATAAAGTCCTGCAGTAAAAATGTTCAAGAATTGGAATATAATTGTGTGAATCTCACTAATAAAAAAACAAAGTACAAATACTAATATATGTATATGTGTTATTTAAAATAATTAAAAATGCCAAAACTTACAATATACCTATTAAAAAAGATATGTATAAATAGAAATTTTATATTAATATATTTATACGCAACAGAGTACATAATTGAACTGATAAAAAAAAAAGGTTAACATTATTTAAAATATAAAATAAAATCGGCAAAAAACAAAATAATATCACTTAAACTTTAATTTTATGAAAAAATCAAGAAAAGATTATTTAATATAATAATAAAATAAAGGAGTTTTGCAAATAATAAAATATTAATTATTAATTAATATTTAAAATTAAAAAAATGAGAAATGTAATGAAAAATTATTGCATTAAAATTAGAAAAATAAAATTCAAGAAAAAATAGCAAATTATTTCAGTACTATAACTAGAGTTTGGCGAAATGGGCGATTGCCAAGGGTAAGTAAGGGCAAAGTAAGAGGGCGCATTTTAGTAAAATTATTATAACTCATTAACTATAATGACTCAATAATTTAAAAATATAGCCGTAATTTGATTAACATGTAAGAATGTAATATAATATTATAAAAATTATACCTACAAAATGAAACAAAAATACAAACGCCAAAATAAAATTCGCCAAGGACGCCACAGAGGGTAGTTACGGCCCTGGATTATTTAGAATACATTGTACTTACAAATTTATTTGACTCATACAAAATGTAAAATAAAAAATTTAACTAAAATAATTAAATTGGAGTAAAAATTATAAATAGAAATGTAAAATCTGAGAAAAATAAAAGGCGTAAAAGAGTGTAAAAAGACCCAAATTCACGTTATGATACCGTGAATTTCACTGCTCAGTGGAACCTACACATCTATACTATATACTGTCATGGGCAAATGCAAACGCGTTTTTTGTAATTTAGGCATTCTTAATAAATTGGAATACTAGTTAAAATTTATGTATAAATAGGTACTCACCAGTTACAAAAAAGCAAACACCGCTATTTTTCAGTCTGGACGAACACCGCGCAATAAAATTTGTGATAGCACTAATTAAGGATAATATTGACAGTAGAGAAAAAAAATTAAAAACTCCGCACACCACATAAAAATGACACTAAAAATAATACACAGATAAAATTCACCGTGTTTATTTTTTATTAATATGAGTTAGTCCCTCGTTCTTATTACACATTTTTTGCTCTAAGGTATACGCCATTACAACTAGTTATCATTACTAATAGAAATAAAACGGTGAAAAATACCTAGGTACCTAACCAAACATTCACAGAATCACAGCGGAATGTTCAAAATCAAAAATTATAAATAACAAAAACCGTAAGTGTGGCAAATTAACTCTAATTGTTTAGTTTACGTACTAAATACAAGGTTTATACTTTTTTTTTTTTTTTTTTTTCGTAACGTGAGTGGCACATTTCCCTAATTCCATAAAGTTAAAATACTTGAGTTTTCTTAACCCACCAATTTATCGAATGAATAACACCGGTGTCCGATAATTTGTACAATATGTATTTTATGCCATCTATTGGTGATTTATCATTGTCGTATGTTATCTATCTTTGATTAAGTTTCTGTACCATCAATTTTTGATCTTTAAGCAATTTTGAATGGTACCAGATACAACCATCCATTTAAATAATCGGAGTCTACAGTATCTACCAACTCTTAAACAATTATATTTTTCATCATTTAAACACAATTGATTGAATATTTATGGTAACAATAAAACTAAAATATTGTGTAAGACCATGTGGAGTTCTTCTCGTGTCGGTCAGTTTTTTTTTTTTTTTTTTATAAAAATTACAATCTTTTCTTTTCCCAGTAATCAATGATTCCCACCATTTAATCAGTGATTTCTGGTAGCTCAATCAAATCTTTCATTTCACATCTACATCAATGTACACTCGAGTAGATGGTTTGATGTTTATTATTCTTCACATTCGCAATTTGCACTGCCCATCACTCCCCACCTATTTAAGTTTTCTTTAGTTCTTTCCACTTGTGTCTTCAGATGGTTGAGTTTTACACATTTTTCAGGGTAAATTATATGGTGGTAAGGTTTCTGTGGGTGTATATCCCTTTGTTCACTCTCTCCATGATTCAATCCTGTTAACCATTGAGTTTTCCCTTAGTAGTGATGTTTTCATAAAGTACTTCCTCGATTTAACCTGCTAAAAGTTGGAGTTACTCCATACATTACATGCCTGTCGTCATTTAACTGTTTGCCCCTTTTTAGCAGCTATTTCTCGTCTTATTTCAAGCAGTGCTTTTCCACTTAAGATTTTCACTTTTTCTATAGAAGTCAATTTTAAGCACCCTGTTATTAGTTTTACCATGTCGTTTAATGCTGTCTACTGTCTTCGCATGAGATGATTATTGCGATACTGCCCAGCTGAGTAGCAAATTACAAGACCAGATGTTCTTACCACTTTTGTGTGGAGTTACAAACTTACTAAACAGTTACAGGGGGAATATAGTGGTAACCAATTAATCTGGCTGATTTCTTTTGGTGTTTTTTTTTACAGCACATTAAAGACTATTTTTATAAGACAATAATATGTAATAACATAAATACAAAAGTAAAATTAAATAATATTATCTAGCAATTATAGTTTTTTTTTTTTTTTTGTAATAATAATAAAAGACTCATCAGTCATCACTATACTAGTTTTAACTGAAATCTAACCACCAATATTTTTAATTCAAATTATGCAAATTAAAAAAAATAGTAAAACTTTGAACTAACCTTTCATTTAACATTATTTGGAAGGAATTTTTGAACATATTTAGTTATATTTATGGATAACAAAAGTCTAACTATTTTTCTAAACAAATATATTGTTAATGTTAAAAGTGATTTTGCTTTACATATTTAAAATACAAAATTATATTACTAATAAATGAAACCAAAGGTATATATATATATTTGACATATAATTATAATTATTTTTTTATTATTAAAGCTTTTAAAAAAATTATAACAAAATATAGAATGAACTATTATATTACATGTGAAAACCAGGATTCATAATACAAATTAAGATCAACATAATAACACTTTCTAAATTAAGGGGGAAGGCTGTGAATTTTTTTTTTTAAATTGTAAATTAAATAGCATAATGTTTTAGGAAGAAACAATTGAAATGGAATAATTATACTATATTGTTTATATACCAGTCTTGTTAAGTATTAAATTATTACAGCGGAAATTATTTAAAGGTTAAATAGATTAACCAATGACAAAACTAATATAAGAAATACATGCAAGGATAAACTACAATATATAGTCAGCATTATATTACTGACAAAATTAAAAAAATATATACATATAACGGTTATAATATTGTTTAATTTTTAACAGATTTTGTCAGTTTAAAAAATTTAACATTTATTATTAAACTGATTAATTTTACAATATTTTGTTGAGCATATTAAGATTAAAATCTATAAGAATTTATAAATAAACATTTTTATAGCAAAGAAACAATATGATTTCACTGTTGGTGCATATTAAATTAATAAGGCACATTTGAGAATAAATATGAAACTGATTCGCCATTGTGTGTCCGCCGAACTGCCTCAGCAAACATCATTGATACATCTATACACTATAAAAAAAATACATGCAAAATATAGATAATATATTGTTCTTTATATGAGACAATGATTATCGCACATGATGTTCCAATATGATTAATATGAAGCCAAATTCAAATAAATGGGATAAACATTTAAAATGAAATAAAGTAGTCGTAAAAAACCCTTATAAAGAATAATAATAATAATGTATAAGTTGTAATTTATCATATTTTATATTAAATCTAAATTCTATGATTTATCAAATTACAATTTTTTCAACCCATTTTCTGAATGCTCATAACAAAAAAGTATAAAATTTGAATTAATTTATACATAGTAATAAACAGATAAACTGAAATATTTAAATATAAACACTTCTTGCCTCTCTGTTATCAATAATAGATCATTTAGAGTCTAAATTTTAAACAAATTCAAGAAATACCCCAATGTTAACAGGGTTGCTTTACTGATCTCGATTAATGATTGTGGTTCAGTGTAAAAATAAACCGATTTAGTTAGAAATTCTTGTTTCTAATCAATTTACCCTTCCGTAATTCTTATTATCAGTTATCACACAACATTGGTTCAGCTATATATTATTGATATTTTAATTTGAAAATTTCAGAAAAGGTGCTACACGTAGAAATTAAAACAAGTCTTTTGGTAGAAAAATTGTGCACATATAAAAAATTTAAAAAAAACATCTTTGTAAAACGATAATCTACTTCGCTCCACTCAGAATCTAATAGGCAACATTCACATTTGCAAAAACTACTTACACGAATTTTGGGACATTCTTTCATATGGCCATCTTGCGGAATGGTATTAGTAACTACAACTGCTTCAAAACACGCATTATTAATACGAGATATAGCGGGACCAGAAAATATACCATGAGTCAAAATTGCATAGACTTTAGTAGCACCTGCTTCAGTTAACCTAAGAAAAAAAAATTGAACATATTAAAAATTATAAAATTATTCTCAAACATCTTACTTTTCTGCGGCATGACATATCGTGCCACAAGTGTCGGCCATATCATCTACCAAGATAGCAATGCGTTCTTTAACATCTCCCACTAGTACCATCGATGCTACTTCATTAGCCTTCTTTCTTTCTTTATGAATAAGAGCAAACTCAACATTTAGCCGGTCAGCTATTGAAGTAACTCTGGAAAAATAGAAGTTTTGACCATAGTATCTAGTATTTATTAATGCATATTATAACAGTATTATACCTTTTAGCACCACCAGCATCCGGCGATACTATGATACTATTTCTCCATTCAGGTATGTTCTCTTTGATCCATTTTAACACAGCTGGTTCGGCAAACAGATTATCAACAGGTATATCAAAAAAACCTTGTATTTGAGAAGCGTGAAGATCCATGGTAATAATATGATCTGCGCCAGCTACAGACAACATGTTGGCAACTAATTTAGCTGATATGGGTGCTCTACTCTAAAATTCCACATACAAATAAATGAATTAATAAAATATAAAAATATTATGAACCTATTTATCTATATACATAATTACTATTAATAGAATTATTTATTATAATATGGGTATGTTGTATTTGCCTAAACCAAAAGCCACCCATTCACCGACAAGCAAATTATAATATTATGTTAAGTATTAGTAGATTGGTCAATCAGTGAACCTAGTGGGAATTTTAAAAACATCTACTTAGTAAGTTTCACTGATAAACCAAACACTAAGTAAACGTAATACATAGAAACTAGTAGCTTGTAAATTCAATTATTAGTTATTTAGAGAAGCATGCATGGTAAGTCAAGTATTTAAAATTGTAAATTATTATTTTTAATTATGAGTTTTATGTACATAATAAAAATGTGTATAAATTATCAAAAAGTTCTTTATTTTATTTCGACCTCAATTTTATTTTATTTTATAATTTATATTAAATGAATTAATGATGTATAAACTATAAAAGTTAATGATAAATACAAACAAATTAATACAATCAAATTTTACATGAGTTTAAAAATATATTTAACTATATATATAACTCCTAAAACAAGATAAATAATATTTATTTAAATATGTAATTTTTTAAATGATAATTATATATTATATAGTATAAGGAATTCATAAATTGTTTACTACAATATAATAATATATTATAGGCTTTACAAATTAAATTTTAAGATATACTATATAATAGAAAATTATAACAAAGATAAATTTATTACAATGTATGGAATAATATAAATCTTTTTAAGTAAAAAATAATTATTAATAAATAACATTCAATAAAAATCATCATGCAAACATAAGGAAATGTTACAGAAACGTTTGTTTAAACAACTCCTAAGAAAAACATTTTTTAGCACCTGATTGCCGATCACAAAATCTCGAAATAATTCCTGTAAAAATAAAGCAAACAAAAAATATGAATTGAATGTCTAATTCATTTATCTAAACCACATAACTGTAACATTAAATTAATGCAAATAATTTAATTTACATGTCAATAGTGTTAATTGGGCTATAATTTCAATCAATTTAATTATTATTTATCTCAACATAATAATTGAGGTTAGTTTAAAAAAAAATTATTATTACTATAGGTATTACATAAATTAACTTATAATTTTACATGAATATAAATTGTTTTCTACATTCACTCTCATAAAATATAACTTTTTGACATATGTTTCATAAAGATATATAAATAAAATATAATTGAGTTATCTCGTTTAATATTCTAATTCATGAATAGAAAAATATTGTATTATTTTATCATACATCAAATTATGTTTAGCAAATAAATTTTTAATGTTATTATTATAGTTTTTAAATAGATACAAATAAATATATTTTAGTGTTTAACAAATTTACTAAATCAAAACATTTTTATTTTTTATATATAAAAAGAGAAGTACAGAGTTAAATCAAATACTCTATGATTTATATAAAACCTAAAATATTTATGAATAAAACAAGAAAATTGTATTTAAATATGCATGCTTATTAAAATTAAAAAGAAAATATTTGATTATCAAAGTATTTTTATGATAAAATAAATATTTTAAACATTATGTGAAGTATACATGCTAAGCTCAAAAATGACTATCACAAACTTATCCATTTGGCTAATAATTATATATAGCATAACATGAAATGGTTAACCTTTATAATGTGTGTTAAATTTAAAAAAAAAAACATTAAGAATGAAGCATTAATATTAGTAACATAATATAACATAATAGTTACTTTTTGGCAGCTATCCTAATTTTTCACACCTTTTTATAAATAGTAAAGCCTGTATTAAATTAATTGCGACACTACGTGACATCCAATACATCTTATTGAACTTAACAAAATATTTTTAAATATATTATAATATCTGCGTGAAATTAACAAGTAGTGAAAAAAATTCATAAAAGGAGAGCAGGGGCTTTTAATGGCACAACTACAATAGTAATCCAGTGACATATTCATCAATAATTGCACATTTAAACGGTCATTCCAAAACATAAAATACCCAAAAAATGCGTAATTATTTTGTATATCCCATAAATTTATGAATTTAGTAAAATAATGTCCAGATAAGTAAAATGTAATAATTTTTCATTGATTAATAAACTATACCCGAAACTTCCATTCATTGCACTTGACGGTCGCCCTTGATCTACTATTGCCATTCTCGGGGATGTCGCCATTCTTTTGTTTACAGCATGAACAGCGAAAAATGATTAATAAGTAAGTTATAATTCAAATAATAATATTAAGCAAGTAATATAAGGAAATAGAAATATTTAAGTATATATAAAAAAAAAAAGAAATAGTTAATTGGCACATGGAAATTTTGAAGAAAATATATATCAGTATATAGTACATATATGTATAAAAAAAAAAAAAGACTGCCAAGAATAATTGATAAGAAACTACCAATTTTTCATTTTTTAAATATATATACATATGTACACTTATAACTACAATTGTATTTGAGTTACATAAATAAAACCATTACATTACAGAACTTATAACACACTTGGTACATTTCATTTTTCAGCGACATATAATTTGCTAAATTTCAAATCTGACAAACAAAAAAAAACCATAGGTTCTGAAAAATATTTTTTATTATTCCTTCCAAAAAATAGCTGTTGAGATGGTAAAAAAATGATGTGTCATTTAAAATTTAAATATGAAAATTTGCATTGTAATAGATTTCAGTTAATATACTATATAGTATTGCAATTGGTATTATATATCTAAGATCTACTATTGTTATTTACTATTGAGTATTAGTATTTACTTATTAATATATTTAAAATTAACTAACTTAATATATTATATTAAGTTTACCTATATATAAATAAACCATTTGTGTATGTAATATTTAAAAATATCAAGTTAAATAAAATAAAATTGAGATTAATAAATTAAGTAAAAAAAAGATTTAATATTAACATAAAAAATTAAATAGGTAATAAGGTATATAGTAACAGTGGGTCCTACAGAGATCGGAAAAATACAATAACTATTTTGTTTGATATTTCTTTTCTTGTAATAATTACCTAAGTCTATACTATAATTATTCTTTTCTATTTTTTTTAAAACTAAAAATAAAAATGTTTAATTGTTACAAAAATCCAAGATTGCCATTTTAAAAATATAGTTTGAAATAAAATGTTGGTATTAATTACAAATATTTACTAGGTAATAATGAATCGCCATGTTTTTATAATTTTTTGAAGTTGACAAAAATTATTAATATGATCATTTTGCATGGAAAAATTGATGAGTCAATTTATATTAGTTATTAGAGGTAATGGAAACCATTTAAATTATAACTATAAACAATTGTAAAATTGAATGATTCATAATTAGTAAACATTTGTAATATCAACATTTTGTTTTAAAATAAATGTATAAAATGTCTATCTTGGATTATGAATAAAATGGCAATTTTTTATTTAGTTTAAAAAAAAATATGTGAAACATATGAATCTTAAAGCACTGAGCAAGGCTCTAGTAAATATTCAAAAGAAGAAAAACTTTAAAATATTGAACAGAAAACAAGTTATTGAATTTGTCAAATTTCCGCAGGATCTGTATGTGAAAATAGAAACCACTAGGTTACATCTAAATTTATACAGAAATACTGAATTGTAGTTATGATTTTTAATAGAAATGACAAATATTCACAAATACATATTGTAAATGTAATAGTTGAGTATCAACTACATTTATAGTTAAAAAGTTTAAAATAGTTAAAACTTTATATACCTAAGTAATAATTAATTTTTAACAGCTTACCTTATCCTTTTTATCTTGCCTTGCATATGGAAAACATGGTATAACAGCAGTTACACGCGATGCAGATGCTATTTTACAAGCATTGATCATAATTAAAAGTTCCATCAAGTTGTCATTAACCTCACCACTACCACTTTGTATAATATAAACATCCTCTCCTCTGACAGATTCTCCAATTTCAACACTAAAATTAAAAAATAATAAATATTATTTATAGAGATTTATTCAAAATTACTTTAGTCTAATTCATTCAATGTACATAGTATTGTTTAGCATTAAATTAACTTAATTTAATCTACACAATTTTACCGGTTTGCAACAAACTTAACAACTAGTTAGCCCTAACTGAGCATTATGAGAATGGGTTAAAGTAAGTCTTAAAACTCGATTAAAACAACATAAAAATTACAGATAAAATACCATATGACTAAGATGAAAAAGAATTACATAGAACTAATGTTACCTATAGGTACACTAAAATTTAAAAAAAATTATATTAAGTAAATTCTAGTAGTTTAAAATAAAATGTATAAAGTAGCTATTTCATTATTGAATGTGATATATAGCACTGCATTGTCCCCTTAACCATACAGATAATCACTCCACCATTCTCCCAAACCCACAAAGTTAGACCGATGAAGTCTAGCGAAAATAATATTATAAAAGATTGCAGATAGCTCAGTTGATAGAGCAGTTGTCCCGAAAACAAGACTCTGGTTCGATTTCTAGTCCAACCACCTAATTGTTTGCACTATTATGATGAGAATGGTCAAAACACATTGAATGTAGTCAAACACATTTCTACCTATTTATGTATCCTGTGCTTTAATTGGTCACAATATTATTTATATTGATTTTATAAAAAAATGAAGTTTACAAATTGTTTAATTTTACCATAAACATATTAATACAAAATATTTAAATTTGAAGAATTTTCTCTTTTAATAGACTCAAAGAGACCTTTTAAAGAACAATATAAACATTAATAATAATATAAGGCAATCAAAAGTGCTAAAAAAAAAGAAAAGAAAAGAGGACAATGTATTTAAATCACACATTTAAATATGGATCCTTATATGTATATTCAGGGTCAACATGAAATTAAATTGGTACCTATAAATTTAAATGTATAATTTTTTTTTTTAAGATTTAATTATAATTGTAAGTACTAATAAAAAATAAATAATCATAAAATAATAATACAAAATGTAAATATTTAGTATAACCTCTACTAAATACCTCTTTACTGCTTATATATATTAGAAATTAACAATGACAGAGAGTTCAATATGCCTCTGTCTATCGAGGGTAGTAGGTGGCTTTGATTACTATATAAATAAAAAATAGATGAGAGTATAAACTATATCAGATTGTATGTTTAAGTATGCGTTGTTTGTAAAGTTGAATTAGTGCACATTAATTAAAAAATTAATGGAAAACAACAAATAAACATAGATACCTGCTCGGATTACACTACCAAGAAATCTCACAGAAGGCAATGAAAATGATTCAAGCGAATCTGGTAAGAGGTAGATGGGTTAAGTAAATAACTGAACTAATAAGAGTATAATACAATACTAGATATGATTAAAGTTGATTATGATAAGTTCATGAATGTGAATTCTGTGAAGATATAAACATAATCGATAGGCTGGTAATAAGCCATCCAAGGCGGCTGTACACTATCAAAGGGCTTTTAACAAGCCACCAGGGACTGCTGAAGTTAATTGGAGATAACTTTTTTTTTTAATTACTCACGGGGAAACACATTTGCACATTACTGTTCTTTTCCCCTCCTCCATGAGCACCATTTGTTGGTAAAAATATAACATCAATTTAACATAAATTAAAATACAATTAATTAGAGGATACCTAACCTGTAAGTTGTCAGAGGGTGCAGTAGAGTGTACACCAGGGTTTGGCCATAATGAGTCGTCAGTAAGGACGTTTACAAGGGAAAGTATCTAGCAAAATATAGTAATAAGCCGAGGTTGTTTTCACGAGCTGTTATTAATTTTTATAAAGTAATACTAGCAGATAATATCAATCGAGTACAAATTATGAAAAAAAGGCACAAAATTATCTGCCCAATAAAAGAAATCAACAGGTGACAGAGAATAATTTTATATTATACTTATGACCAACTCGAAAGTCACTCGTGTTGCTAACAGACAGTTTTTAGAATTAAAAATATAATATTGTGCTCAATAATGAATTGTGAAACACGGTTAGTAGTTAACCGTATAGTTATGGTGGTGTTTGAATGGGCGACGGGCGGACGGTGGACGGTAAAACGCGCGCATCCTAACACGTGTTTGACCGGGTTTGGATCATTTTCCTAACCTAACATATTCATAAAAAATTAATTGAAACGAAAACAAAAAAAAATGAAAACTGTCCCGGAAAACAACGAAACGCAAGGCAGTGTAATTTTCCCCTTCGAGTATATTATTACGCAAGCGGGTAAATGTGAAAAGAGGAATCGATAAGACAACAGACGATCAATCGACCGAAATGGACACGGAAACCGGGAATGAAATGAACGAAACCAGTTCTGCACTGACGGAATTGCGCGGCAAACCGGGCGATGTTCAGTTACCATGTCTCGAGGTTGCTGAACTTCTTGGTGACCACCTTGCCGACGTCGATGCCCAATCGGTCGACGATCCGCTGGGCCAGGTCCGGGTGTGACGTGCCGCTAAATACCTTAATGTTGGGCATTCTGCCTGAGTTCTTGTCGCCGTCTTTGGTGCGCGTCGGGACCAAACTGGTAGTATTTACTATACACCTAGCGTCACCGACGGGTACGGACAATAACAAAGGCATAATAGCTCGGCGATCATCGTATTTGACTGTGCGATTGTCGAGCGCCCGCCTACTGCGCGTACCCCACCGACCGATCGACCGATAACACCGACGACGCGGCGCGCCGCCGCAGCAGCCGCGTCAACGACGGCGGCAACCGCGCGTACTGTACGCCGGCCGCCCGAACCCTTAGGGGGTTAAATCAGGGGGACCACGCGTGCGGCGTAAAATATTTCAAAGCGATACGTCACACGCAACATAGAAGATGATTATTTTACCGCGACCAGTGCAGCAATAAAAATATAATAATCTACTTAGATTTCAAGTACCTAGGCAATTTTTTTTTTTTTTTTTTTTTTTTATCATATGTCATTTATAATAGGTGTGTAACAATCGTTTAACTGCATGATCTTATTCATTATATTTTGAACATTTATTATACCAACCCTTATTCTGTAGTGTTTATGGTATAGTACATGGTGACATAATATATCATATTACAGTATTGACATTGATTTTATAATATTCTATTCTAATATAATCAATGATATTAGTACATGTATTATTTACGTACGTGTTACGGTAAATGTTGTAAAATCGGTTAATGTTGCTATATGTTTACGTTTTTATATATGAAAACCGATTGTGTGCTGTTAGTTTTAATATTAGGGTTTATTTGTCTTTTATTTAACCATAAGATGAGAACATTGTCTATATTTTTGTACGTTAGGTATTTTTCGATATTTTAATTTTTCAAGCGAGTTACGAATATGTAGAATATTACAATTTTAAAATCGTTTTATCTCGCTTAGAAATTAAAATATCGAAAAAAACTCAACGTGTATGAACACAAACAACCTTTAAGTTTGATAACAGGCCACTAAACTCTGATATTAAAATTTACGGCATAAAATAGGTTAATAAATAAAAAAAAACAACATTTATACAGAGAGAGAAATTCTCGATAAAACACGTATTATCTCAGAAAATGTTAACTTTTTTTAGAAAATACATTATCTACAAATTAGCTTTAAAATGTTCATCACCTTCATTTTATGTCGCCCTTATATTTGGGAGTGAAGCCATTATCTACTTTTGATTTTATCCCATTTTGATTCAGGGGATCATCATTTATGAACGCGCGCAGCGTTAGGATAGTGTGCTCCACTACTATCCCTCTACCGACCCTACTCATATTTAAAAGCGTATATTCTCGTGAACAAGCGAACAGAAATTGAAAATATCTACATCAAAATTTATTTAACTTATAATTTTATCTATTAATGTAATTTGTATTATAGTTTGCGATTTTAAAATAAAAAGTGGGTAGTGATTTCACTCCCAAAATAAAGACCGGAGCTTAAATTCATAAAAAAAATTATCGTGTTTACATTTCGGGTATTTAAACAATTTTAATATTTAACATTACACATATTACGTTACATATACGGTATACATATTACATATTTGCATATATAAATATATATTGAAATATTTTGGGGTTTTCAAAAATTGTGTTGTTGAAACATTTTTTAGAATATACCCTGTTATAACAGAATTCCTCTCAGAATCGTTTTTATTAGCAATGATTAATCGTTGCGTACAGATGTACATTACAATATTTCTTCTCTACCTTCTCAAATTTTCGTTCTCACCTACATACAATGATCCACCCATCTTGCGAAGTATGACCGTTTGTTTTTTTTAACTTTCGATTAGAAAGAAAATATTTTTCCAAAAACATTGATCGCATAACGTGGGTTTAATAACGCCTCCTTCCACGAAATTTGCAATTTTTTACGAATTTTACAATGAGTATTGCGCATAGATATTGTTTAGATCATAATATATGAAAATGGACATACTTTGCAAGTTGGATACTTGGGTGGCCCATTGTTTGTAGGTGAGAACTGAGAAGGATATAGAGAGGAATTTAATTTATATCTGTACGCAACGATAAACCATGTTTTGAAAGGCTGTAATGTTTACGATTTTCGTCAAAATTTAATATTTAAATGCGTAAAAAAAAAAAAATACAAAGTATAACTTTTAATGAACCTCTTATTAAATTTGCATGCATTTCTGTTAAGGCTAAACATTTCATTCACAAAGTATACATGCCGAACAAAAATTACGTAAAAACTCTCAAAATTAAAATGTTTATAAAATATAGCTCAAAAATGGTTCAAATATTTTTAATATTTTACTACGTCTAGAAAAATCAAATGTAAGTTTTTTGTCCAAATTTCAAGTCTACGAATATTTTTAACTGAATCACAACAAAAACCTAAATTTAAAAAAAAAAATATATATTTTCTTAAACTTTCTCATTTTTCCTACGTTTGATCCCGGTTTTTTCTAATTATTATAAAACCTGCTTAAAAAATCAACAAATTAGGTACCTTCTTAAAGTACCTAGTAGATACAATTGCCTTTTAATTTGTTAGTCCAAATTAGTGTAGATACTCGTTTATTATATTTTATGAGAAATTAACTCAAGCGTTGGATCTCCCCCTTCCAGACATCAATAAATTTCAATAAAATGTCATCTAAAAATGAGGTATTTAATATAGGAGATACCTTTAAAATGTATATTATTTTTCAGGATCCCTTCCAGAAAAATATTAAAAATCAGTTACTGGGTAAGTAGTTACTACTTTGTAGTTATATCAGTGGCGTATGGTTATATCGCCCGTATTCGCTTAAAAATAAAAAAAAATATGAGTAATCAATCCAATATTGAATGCATATATTTCAGCGAAGTTACGAGGAAAAGCTTGATGTATTCATTAGAAATTGTTTTTTTTTTAGAATCCGGCTTTTAAATTACCAATTCCGATAATCAAGTTGGATAGAGAAAACGATTTTACAATTTATTCACGATTCTTATTTACTACATCCCCTCCCATTTAAAAATCCGGTACACGCCACTGACTTACATTTGTACTTACAAAGTATTATAATACAAAATATTTTTTTAAGTAGCTGAATATTGTTATTATTTCAGGTAGTTAGGTATGTGATATTTTACGCACGAACTGTAGTATTGTATAGTAATTACTAATAGGTATGGGACGTTGTATATATAGGTGCCTATCAATATACCTAACTACGACTCAAGTACGAGTTTGCAACGTCAAACATTACACACTATATTACGCGTACGTGGTACACGTATTACACAACTATTATTATAGTAATTATTATTGTTTAAACACGCAACTTCGTGTGGTATAATATTGGTTTTCGGTTTCATCTCGTGAGGCAATAATAATTATTCAGCAAACTATCATAAGGATTTTGTTCACGTTCGTTTATAGTATTTCAGTTAATAAATAATAACTTATTATCAATATTATTATTAAAATTATTACACCGAAAATAATTTAAAAACTTCGCGATTGGTAACCTTAACTATGTTTCGTCGACCATCAGGATTTCCGTCGGATATTAACAGTAGCGTGGGGAACGCTCATTTAAATGCCTATTGTAGTTTGATAATTTAATAATTTAATTTACATTATAATAATTAGTAATATTATCTATGTATTTACTATTATAATTACTGACCACTGTTTACGGTTAAAAGTTAAAACTACACACTCGGTTTGGGAGGAGGAACTGGGGAAGGCATATCCAAAACAATTTATGAAGAGACTGGGAGGGACTGGAATTTTATTTTATTGTCTATAAATCACTTACACCTAATAAAAATTTAGAAATTGTCAACATATCACCCACTGTTTTATAATGCCGACTGTTTTTAAAATATACCAACTGTCACTCAAAGACTTCGGAGGTATGTTAATATGTTCATATAAGGGAGGGAGCATGGAAGGGATTTAAATATAACACAAATAGCCGCAGACACGGATCTAGAACAAAGATCTGGGGGAGTCCAATTATTTTTTTACAATACAAATACAATTAAAATATAATGTAATACATTATGCATATTATTTTCTCATATAATTCTCTTACAGAAATCGGAGAAATAATATGTCTGAGGGGGCCTGAGCCACTAGCCTCCCTGGATCCATCCCTGCAAATAGGTATAAAATCTTTGTATCCCGACTAAAAAAAATATCAATTTTTAATAATTTCATCATTGAAATTAAATACCTAATTGGAGGTATAGGTTAGCAATTATTTACTTTATAAGCTATTTAGGTACTAATCTAACTTCCTTTTTATCATAGTAGTTTGGATTTAAGTTTCATTTAAAACAACAAAAAAAGTATACGTTATGATTTTTTTAATATATTTATTATATTAAATATTATTAATTTTTCTAACTAAAAAGTAAAGAAATTTGAATTTAAAAAGACAGACATACTTCTTGTCTAGGTGGGCCATTGTTTTAAATGAAAAATTGGGAAGGTAGAAGGGCAATTTAATGTATATCTATTGCAACGATTAACCATTGGTAACGAAAAACGATTCTGAATGGAGTTCGGTTATATTGTTAACAAAGCAAACATTAGATTTGTCGACAATATATATGGTAAAATAATTACATATGCATTTTATATTTTCTTTAATTATATTTGTTTAATATTGTATATATTTTCCCGTTTCCCCCTAGTTTTTACCATGTTTTTCCCATTTATTGGGAAAACTCCTGGAAAAATCAAAAATATGTCTTATGTTATTTCCCATTATTTATGAAAACCTGGGTAAATCAAAAAATGATCTCCATAAACTACCGCCCCAGTCATATTTCCTTTCAGAAAAAGTGCTATAACTGTACATCGGAACAAAATTGCTGGTGGAATTCTTGAACAGTATAAAAAAATTTAAAAAAATATCTTTGTAAAACCAATACATTTTTCGCTACACTCAGAATCTAAAATAGGTGATGATCTAAATAACAAATACTAAAAAAGGTCCAGGGGAGATATATCTCTCTAATCACCCCCCATAAATACACTGCTGCTTCAAACAATGTTTCATCTGTTACTATTGATTATTACTTAGGAACAGATTTTTATATGCACTTAAAATCCACGAAAAAGCCCTAAAAATATATTAAAAAGCAAAAACGGTAGGCGTTTAAAATTCTTCCTCTCTTACAGGTGAAACTTATTAAATTTTCTAACATCTACAAAAATGACTAATACAAAGGAATTATTGTTTTTAAT